ACCAGTGGATGGAAGATCTCTCTGTTTCTGTTCTGTCTCTTTCCCTCTCTCTCTGTAATTATGACTTCCAAATAAATAAATAAGTAAATCTTTTAAAAAATGTAAATTTCTCCAGTCAGCCTTCCTTCTCTCTTATAGCTTATTACCCTCCAGAACAATTCTGACTTACGTGACATCTTTAATTTGTTGTTTATTGCTGTCTTCTCACTTAACTCTAAGCTCCAAAATGACACCTGCAGTGTCTACTTTGTTCATTGCTTCCTTTTTTTTTAAGGTTTATTTATTTATTTGAAAGTCAGAATTACACAGAGAGAGGAGAGGCAGAGAGAGAGAGAGAGAGAGGTCTTCCATCCGCTAGTCCACTCCCTAATTGCCCGCAATGGCCAGAACTGCACTGATCCGAAGCAAGGAGCCAGGAGTTTCTTCAGGTCTCCCACGTGGCTGCAGGGGCCCAAGGATTTGAGCCATCTTCTACTGCTTTCCCAGGCCACAGCAGAGAGCTGGATAGGAAGTGGAGCAGCTGGGTCTCGAACCGCTGCCCATATGGGACGCCAGTGCTTCAGGCCAGGGTGTTAACCCACTGCGCCACAGCACCAGCACCCTCATTGCTTTATTTTCAGCACCCAGCACAGTACCTGACACAAAGCGGACACTTGATACATATTTCTTGCACTGAATTTGATAGATGGACATCTATGGCTTCATGAGCACTATTCAAGGAAGAAACTCCAGTTTTCCATATTAATTGGTCACTTGAAATTGGAAAAGGTTACATAAATGCTGGATTAAAAGTCCAGGAAAGGTCACTGCTGTGGCTGCAGCACTGGCATCCCATGTGGGTGCCAGTTCAGTTCCCAGCTGCTCCACTTCTGATCTGGCTCCCTGCTGATGCACCTGGAAAAGCAGTGGAAAATGGCCCAAGTGCTTGGACCTCTGCATCCATGTGGGAGACCTGGAAGAAGCTCCTGATCCTGGCTTCTGTTTGGCCCGGTCTGGCTGTTGCAGCCATTTGGGGAATGAAGCAGCGAATGGAAGACCTCTCTCTTTCTCTGTAACTCTGCTATCAAATAAATAAACAAATAAATAAGTAAATAAGTAAGTAAATAAATCTTAAAAAAAGTCCCTGGAGAAGTGAATGACTGATGAACAAGAAAGTTTTGAGGATTTCAATCTAATGTATTACAAAGAAAAACAATAGTGTAAAAGGAATTGCTTAGTTTGCTACTCAAAAAATGTGGGAAGGGGGAATAAAATTAAGAAAGGAGGGGTTGTATTCAATACATTGAAAAATGCAAATGCTTACCATATATGAAATATAGAATATTCAGCTGTGAGCACAACAGGGTCCTTGCCTTAAGGAGTTGAATCCTTTGGAAAAGGTATGTGGGTAATTATTATACAAATTGATGACTGCAACAATTAAGAGCTGGAATAATGAAAACCTGAAGAAAAAGAGATGTGTTAATCGGGGTCTTACAGCATGAATAGTTGAAGGAAGAGGGTTAAGGCTTTTTCCCCATATTGAGAATGGCACTTGAAAAGGCACACGTCTAGGTCTGGCCTGCTCAACTAGGCCAACTAGACAACAGAGGTATTCAAGCAAGGCAATAAAAAGGTCAAATATGATTTTTATTTTTTGTAAGATAAGTGGAACTTTGTGCAGGGAGGAGAAACAAAGTCAAACACTGCTAGATTCCTGAGCTAGATTTCTTATACTTGGCCTCAGACCAAGTAGTGTCAATACTTCTATGTCCATGACCTGTACGTCAGTTTTCTTGTCTGTAAAGTGAGGCTAAAAAACAGTATTTACCCAATAGTGCCACGAGGGCAAAACTAACGGATAGAAGAAAAACCCTCCGAATGCTGCAGGTACTAGAAGTTTTAGCTGTTGTCAGTAAATGGCTGATTTGATGTCATATTTCATTGCCTTCACTTCAAGCTTACGTGAAAGATTACTGATTTTGAAAAAATAAGCATGGCAAGATTGAAAAATAGTTTAGCAATGCTTATATAACATTTCAGTCAGTCCAGTTGGTTGTGCCTCATGCTGAGCCTTACAAATGTTCTTTCTGCCTCAAGTTCAGAAGTTGAAAAGGTTGAGGACATGGCATTATAAGAATGATTTCATAAACACGGAGATTTAAAAATCACCAGCTATTTAATAAGAAAAAAAGTCATCTTACAGGGTAAGCTGGAAACAGTCATCCATGATAATGTATTTGCATCTTAAATAATCAGCTACTTAAGCCGTTTGTCATTTAGCAATATAAGGACTCAGAGATACCAATAAAGAGTTTATTATCTTCCGGAAAATTACTTCCCTTATATTGAGTTGATTTTCTGAAGTCTCCTGAAATTTGATGTATATTTCAAAAAGCCAGTTTGTTGACAACAGTGTGGAATATTGTTGGGGAGAAATCAGTCTTTTTTTTTTTTTAAGATTTATTTATTTTATTTGAAAGGCAGAGTTACAGAGAGGCAGACACACACACACATACACATTCAGAGAGAGAGAGGGAGAGAGAGAGGTCTTCCATCCTCTGGTTCACTCCCTCAATTGGCTGCAACAGCCGGAGCTGAGCCAATCCAAAGCCAGGAGCCAGGAGCTTCTTTCTGGTTTCCCAATGCGGGTGTAGGGGACCAAAGACTTGGGCCATCTTCTGCTTTTCCAGGCCATAACAGAGAGCTGGATAGGAAGTGGAGCAGCCGGGACTTGAACCAGTGCCCAAATGGTATGTTGGCACTACAGGTGGCAGCTTTACTGGCTATGCCACAGCACCCGCCCCCAGTCTTGGTTTCATAACAGGAAAGTTTGAGGAGCTATTGATAAGAGCCCTGTGGAACACAAGATTTGGAGACCAGGATTTGGTTTTTGTTGCTTATAAGCTGTAATTTAGACAAGCCACTTAACCTCTTTAAGTTTCATTTTTATAAAATCTGACTTGTTTTGAGAGTCAAATTAGGGGCTGTGAGTTTTCTGACAAATGAAGCGTGTAATATCTGAAGCCAGGAGCCAGGAGCCTCCTCCGGGTTTTCCAACGCGGGTGCGGGGGCCCAAGGACTTGGGCCATCTTCTACTGCCCTCCCAGGCCATTAGCAGAGAGCTGGATGGGAAGTGGAGCAGCCGGGACTTGAACTGACGCCTGTGCAGGATGCAGGCACTGCCTCCACGCACTGTTTCACCGGCCACGCCACAGCGCGCACCCTGAATGCACCTTCATGGAGAGTAAACTCGTACTGTGCTAGGTGCTGTGAATGGTATCTTCAGATAGGCCTCTCCCTCGGGGATGTGATGGGAACGATAAGAGCCAACGGCCGGTGCCATCCATCAGAGGACGGGAAAAGGCAGAAGAAAGGACTGTGTGGCCTGTGACGTCAGCGGCGACTCGGTGGAGGCCTTGACGATCCAGCCACGCTTCAAACAGCAGAATGGAAGAACTGTAGGGTTTAACGAAGGTCGTCCAAGGTTAAACTGGGTGAGCGAAGGCGAGGGCCAGGGGAGTTTCAACATTGCATAACAAGTGCTCACACAGCTGTTTGTCTCTGGGCAGAATTCGGGGCGCCCGCAGGACGAGTGAATGGGGCCCGCCCCGGTGTACCTCACTTCTTTGGCCCCCGTGCGCCCCCGTCCTTGAGCGAGCGGGCCAGGCTCAGCCTGAGCACCTGGCGCAGGCTCTCGTCTCGGCGAACTCCCACTCTTGCCCCCAGGCTCAGCTCCCACAGCACGTACTTCACGCTCTCCGGGCTCTTTCTGCCGCCCTAAACCTGCACAGGGCACATGACTCAAGGCAGCGTCCGAGGCTCGCCCTGACCCCGGGGCCTGGAACGTCCGCGGCGCACCGGCAGCGCTCGCCCAATCAGTGTGCGCACCCCGACGGCAGGCGGCGGGCGTTCCGGCAACCTCTCCCTCAGAACCGCGCCATCTCTCCCCAGGTAGGATCCCAGGGGCTGGGACCACGGCGGGAGAGCCGACCCCCTCCTCCGGCGCCTCCCGGGCGGCCCCCAGCCCCACCCCTCCGGAGCCGGCTGGGCCTTCCCCGCCGCCCTCCTAACGCCGAACGCCGAACGCCATCCCCACGCCCCCACCCTACACCACGCAACATCGCCCTAGCGCCTCACCGGGCGGTACCGCGCGGGCTGCGCCGCCTGCGATTGGCCAAACGTGGCATAGCGCCATCTCGGCCTACTGCGCGGTGCGCGCCCTCATTGGCTGAAAGCAGGGGCGGGGGCGGGAAGACGCGCGCGGGGCGGGACGCCCCGCCCCCTGGGGCCCCGCCCCCTGGTCCCTCGTTGGGGCCGAGCCCTATCCCGCGGCTGAGGCGAGCTCGGCCGGCTGAGTGAGCGAAGGGCGCGCGGCGGTTGCTCTGGTTACTGCGGAAGCGCCGAGCTGGGAAGGGCCGCCGCCGCCCGCGTGGGATGCTGGTGAGGAGGCCGTCGGGAGCTGCCGCCGCCTGCGGGAGGCTCTCGGGGGGCCCGCCGTCCACCGGTGAGGAGTTGAAGTCGCGGCGTGGCCAGGTCGGGGGTCGGCGGCTCGGGACCTGCTGAGGAGAAGCCTCGGGGGAGTGACTGGCGGCCCTGTCTCCGAGGCCGGCCTCTGGCGGAGGAGGCAGCCCGGCGTTTGCCTGCGGCCGCGGCCAGCGATCGCTGTCGCCGAGAGGCGAGGCCGTGGTGTCTCCGATTTCCGGCCACCCTTCTTCCCCCAGAAGGCACCTGCCGCCGCGCCCGCACCAGCACCGCCGCATCCGCCGCCGCGAGCCCCGCGGGAACCCCGCGGAAAAGGAGGGCTAAATACCGGAGGACCGGGGCAGGCGGTTTTTAATACACGTTTCCAAGTCTCCTACAGCTGTCTCCCTTCGGACTGTTTTATAATAACTTTATACGATTTTTAAAAAAAGATTGGTCTGATTTGACTTCTCATCCTGTGACCGTAGTTACTGGACTTTGGCCGGTGCCCTGTGCTCCTTTTAGGACCCTACCAGGAGGGGGCTAAAAAAGAATCTCCACTTTGGTGCCACCGAAGAAGCCTTTGAACCATGTGGACTTTTCTCGGCATTGCCACCTTCACCTATTTTTATAAGAAATGCGGGGACTTTGTCACTTTGGCCAACAAGGAGCTCCTCTTGTGCGTGCTGGTGTTCCTGTCGCTGGGCCTGGTGCTCTCCTACCGCTGCCGCCACCGCAGCGGGGGCCTCGTTGGGCGCCGGCAGAGCAGCTCCCAGTTCGCGGTCTTCTCGAATATTCTCTCCGCTTTGCCTCTTATTGGCTTCTTCTGGGCCAAGTCTCCTCCTGGCTCAGAGAAGAAAGAGCAGCTGGAGTCCAGGAGGGTAGGTTGATGGCAAAGGGGCAAATGAATGAGCCTCTCATTGGAGAATTAGGATTGGAGTCACCCAAATAGGTTTTGTGCTGTGCAGGACGAGAGGTGGCAACTTAGTATAACTTCTCGTGTGTTTAGATTATTTTTAAAGATTCTGACTGTGTGCCTGGTCTACATTCTTGACATTCTTTGGAATTATTGAAAACATTGGTTTCCCTTGGTGTTGGTGGCGCCTCAGTTGGAATGGAGGTTGGATGTTGATTTGATTACTAAAGGTGGAAAACCTGTTAGGATTTCATTTGGAAGGAGGATAGACCCACTTCCCAGGGCGAAAAAGATGTTTTATTTAAAATCCGTGGGTGCGGATAGGGTGTATACCTGGGAAGAAGGCTGCATGCTGCGAGTCAGCCACTGCCTTAAGAAGTGACAGCTGACGGAGAAGTGAGAACAGTGTGGGCAGCAGTGAAAATGCTCAACAGGTTAAAGCCCTTTGCAACATCTTTGAAGCATTAAGCAGATCACGGCAGTAGTGTCCTGGATCCAGAGAACAGTTGAACAGCGTCCACAGGGCAGTAGTGTTTCTACATCAAAGGCTGAACCTGCAAATACACCTGAACTTAGGATTCCTTCCCAGGGAGTGGAGGAAGCCATTGGCAGGAGATGAGTGGGGAGAAGTCCTTGAGGGTAGGGCCTCTTGGCTCCGGGTATTTGGAATGTTTCCTGGGGACACTGAAGGGCTTTTAAGTGTGAAACAGTATTTGATTTTTACTTTTTAAAAAGAACATAGGTTTTCTAAGAATGGAAGCGGGATGTCACATGAGAGACTAACAGGAGACCCAGTGAGGGAATGGCTGACCGTGGCTTGGAGTTAGGGTGAGTGGCCTGCACAGCGAGGTAGAGTTCTTGATCTACATTATTTGTTCTGTCCCCAGTACAGATTAGCAAGGTTTATAGAGGAGAGGAACTTGGTTTAGAATTTTTGCTCCACCACTTCTGGCTGTGAGACTTTTGGCAAATTGCTTAATTTCTCTAAGAATCAGTTCCCTCTTCTGTTACATGGGGATGGCACTTCCTTTGCTGGTAGTTAGGAAATTAAATGAGTTAATATTTGCAGACTGCCTGGCTTACACCTGCTTAATAAGTGTTAGCTACTAATAGTCTAAAAGTGGTATATATCTGTTAGAAATCTTTGGAGGAGTGCGGAATGGCTGTGTGTGGGCTGGAAGAATTGGAAAGGACGGGGAATTTTCAATTTGAAAATGTGTGTACTTTCGTCTAAGGTAACTTCCTTCAGTCACTGATCACTAGTCCGGGTTATTGTCATGGTGTTGTGTAGAGAAGTTTTGGAGTAAGAAAATTAGATCACCAGCAGTCACTATTGGTTCCATTTTGTGAACACTTCAGGCTTTCTCCTTATTTCTTAGAAATCAAGAGGCTTTTAAACTGATCTATGAAGTACTAGATTCTCATTCGTACTTCTGTTGATACAGCTCTGAAGGACTGACTTCCTCCAGACTCCGCTTCCAAGAGTGTGTGTGTGTGTGTGTGTGTGTGTGTGTGTAACAGGAAAGACTTAGAAAAAGTAATAGATCCTTAAGATAACAAAAGGAGCTTGTCTTGGACACTGCCCCTGCCCCCAACAGTCATTTGGGCAGTTGTGGCGGCCATTAAGAAATACTGATGAGAAGGATAGATTATTGCCTTCTACCCTTGGTAAAGGACAGAAAAGTATTCTCTAAGATGAATTAGAAAAATGGAATGGACAAGGGCTCAGTCCATTATAGAGGTAAAAGAATTCTGGGTGAATATTAGAATCACAGCATTAAAGCTCGAAATGATTTTAGGTTTCATCTTCATTTTGGCCTAAGTTCCTTTATTAAAATGCCTTGAAATGGAAATGAATTTTCTCTCCACCCTTAAGACAGAGAACTCAAGAAAGATGGTTCCTTGCAATTCTGTATCTGAAATGTATTCACATTTGTCAATCTACTTATCAAAAACAAATACTTGTTATGAAATAGATTTGATCATTCAAAAACCAACATGCTTGCAGTATTATTCTCAGTGCGTATAAATCTCTTAAAAGAGAATTTTTGTATCGCTTATGATCAAAGTTAAAGTTTTTGTTGTCAAATCAACCAGGGGTAAGCTTAATGTTTGTTGTTCCTAAATTGGGGGATCAACTCTGAGTAGGCTCTCCTGGAGTATCAGGATGAGGAAAAATGAAGGGGCAAAGTCAATAAGTGCTTATATGATAAGAACTAAAATTGTAAACAAATCTCAATTCCTTTGTAATTTTGTTGATTTAAATAATCCTTGATTGGTAGATCAATAGCCAGGATTTGACAGTCTCTTTGTTCTATAAAACTGATTTTTAGATTAAGGTAGATTTTTCAGTTGAAAATGCAGAAGCAGAGAGAGAAAATAAATGTTGGAACTATCTAAAAGGTAAATACTGTGTAACATGAAATCAAAACAGAAATTGTGATTCTGGTAAATGCACAGTATATATTTGAAGAACTGAAAAATAATAGACTTTGTCCTGTAGTAAGCCTTTGAAGCCCCTTATGAGTATTTATTATATTTGGCTGGTATGACTATCTTTTTTTTTTTTTTTTTTAAAGATTTTATTTATTTGAAAGGCAGAGTTAAAGAGAGAGTGGAGTCTTCCATCTGCTGGTTCACTCCCCAGATGGCCGCAATGGCCGGATCTGGGCCAGGCCAAAGCCAGAAGCTTCATCTGTGTCTCTCATGTGGGTGCAGGGGCCCAAACACTTGCGTCATCTTCCATTGCTTTCCCAGGCGCATTAGCACAGAGCTGGATTGGACTGAGCAGCCAGGACTCAAATCAGTGCCCATATGGGATGCCGGTCCTGCAGATTGGGGTTTTAACCAGCTGCACCACAGTGCCAGCCCCTGGCTGGTATGATTTTCCAGAGATAGCTATATAACAGAATTTTCTAAATATCATGTTTGAAAAAAGGAACATATATTTAATTTCATTGGGATATCACACATTTTTATTTAACCAGTATTTTGATATAATTGATTTTTGAAATAGTTTTATTTTATTTATTTGAAAGAGTTACAGAGAGAGGTGGAGACAGAGAGAGGTCTGCCATCCACTGGTTCATTTCTCAAATGGCTGCAACAGCTGGAGGTGACCAGTCCGAGGCCAGGAGCTTCAGTCATGTCTCCCATGAGGGCGCAGGGGCCCAAGAACCTGGGCCATCTTCCACTGCTTTCTCAAGCGCATTAGCCGGGAGCTGGATCGGCAGTGCAGCAGCCAGGACTCGAACCAGCACCCATATGGGATGCCAGCGCTGTAGGCCAGTGCGTTAACTGGCTGTGCCACAGCGTCGGCCCTGATATCATTGATTTTTATATGTGATCTGGGTTTAAAAATGTTTCACTTGGTTTGATAATGTTTGGGGTCTAGCTTTTGCCCAAGATGCAACAGTCTGGTGTATTGGTATATTAATAGTATAATTTAAGCCTAATTATACTATACTTTCCAAATTTGGAAACGTATTTTTTTTTTTTTTACAGCACAGAAAAGGAACCAGTATTTCCGAAACAACCTTAATAGGAGCAGCTACCTCTACATCCACATCTTGTCAAAATGATCCAGAAGTTATTATCGTGGGATCTGGTATACTTGGCTCTGCATTGGCAGCAGTGCTTTCCAGAGATGGAAGAAAGGTGACAGTAATTGAGAGAGATTTAAAAGAGCCTGACAGAATAGTTGGAGAATTTCTGCAGCCAGGTGGTTATCATGTTCTCAAAGACCTTGGTCTTGGAGGTAGGTTTATCTTGATTTTTGGGAGAGTTAGAGAATAAGCAAGTGTTCTTTGCATAGGATAAACTATAAGTAATAAAAAGACATTTCAGTTTATTTCTGTTTGTAAAATTTACTGAGTTACCAATAGATTAGCATGAAAATAAGAGCAAAGGAGAAAACAGGATGTGAGGAGATATTAAATAGACTTAAGGAAATAATAATGAAATGTCTAAAAATTGTAATGGTCAAAAATGAGTATTGGAACACTCCTTGAATGAAGGCATGAAATTTAGTGAAAAGTGAAGGGAAGTATGATTTGTAGAATATATATTATATACTTGTTACAGCATTATTTCATTGAATCTGTTATTTAAGCATCATTAATCATCAATGCCTTTTTTAAAAAAATTATTTATTGGGGTGACAGAGACAGAGTTAGTGGTTCACTCCCCAAATTACTGCAAGAGCCAGGCTGGGCTGGGCTGGGCTGGGCGGAAGCTGGGAGCCAGGAACTCAGTCCAGGTCTCCCGTGGTGAAACAGCAGCCAATGACTTAGCTATCAGCACTGCTCCTGTGGATCACATTGGAAGCAAGCTGGGTCAGGAGCCAGTGCTGAGAGCAGTATCCATGTACTCAAATGTGGGTGGCAGGTATCTTAACCGCTAGGCTAAGTGCCTGCCTTAGAACCAGTGCTTTTTCAGCACCAATTGTTTATTTAGAAAATACGTATTCACTACCTACTTTGGTACTGGGTACTAAGAGTCTGTTGATAAACTAGACAGATAAACTCTATTCTTGAGAACAGAGCTCAAAATTTACTGAGGCTATGAGGTGAGAATGAGCTTGTTAGGTGTGTGTGGTAGGAAGTATGATGTATCAACTAGAAGCCTTCCATGCTAGAACTATAGTTTGAGTTTGAATACCACCTCTTAAAAGGTTTATGACTTTTGAATGCCACTTAAGAGGTGTGTGACCTTGCCTAGGTAACTTAACCTCCTTTTTTGTTCATTTATTTATAAAATGGGCTTAGTAAAAGAATCTGCCTTTCATGTAAATGGGTTCACATATATAATGCATCTGTAATAGTGCTTGACACGTATTTCGTATTCGCTGCTTTGTGTAAGGAACTGAAAAGGAGAACAATACAAAACTGGAAAGTAGTAGATGATGGAGAAGGAAGAGAGGCTTGAGATTAGGTTGGAAAGGTGGGCGGCAGCCAGATCATGCAGGCCTTGTTAGGCAGTGGAGCAAGAGTGTGACATGATCTTATTTTACCTTGAAAATAGTGGTTTCAAGCTTTTAACAGCTACTCACAGTGACAATACATTTTACATTCTCAGTACATTCAGTACATGTGCCCATCTGACAGATATTTCCTTTACTTCTTAAATACTTGTCATGATTTCACCTGATTATACACTTGGCAATTTGAAATTCATTTCACAGCTCACTATTAAGTCAAACTCTGGCATTTGTGGAATGCCATTTACATGAATATAGTATGGAAAATACACTGTAAGATTGTGGTAGTGGGCAGGAAGCAATGTTAGGAGTCTAGTGAGGACTAATTACTGAGTCTAAATGACAGATGGTGGTGGTTTTAATTAGCATGATAGCAGATATATAGAGAAGTAGACAGATTCATGATGAAATTAACAATTCCTGCTCAGGAATTGGCATGAGATGTCAGGAAGAGGATGCTATATCAGAAGTGATTTCTAGGTTTTGACTTAAGCAACTTATAAATGGTGATACCATTTGCTGAGAGTGAGAGAATATGGAGGTACTGGAGGGGAACAGGCGTGGGGGAACTTTGGGGAAGAACCTATTGGGATATCTAAGTGTAGATGTCAAATTGGATGTAAATCTGGAGTGCAGAGGAGTGGTTTGGACTGGCTGGAGTTAAAGTTTTCACAGTTGACAGCATGTTTGTGGTGCTTAAAAGCCATAGCAATGATCAAGACCCCAAGGGAAGTATAGGGAGAAGATAGAATAAATTAAGTCTTGGGAAATGCTGATATTTAAAGATTGTGTAGAAGAGGAGCATGCAGAAGAGACCGAGAAGGAACTGGCTGATGGTAGAAGAAAGCCAGAAGTGTTTGGTGTCACTTAATCTAAGAAAGGAGAATCTTTCTGTTCAGAGGAAATGGGTATGTTAAGAAAGGACAGCTATGACAAGGTTTGCTAATGAAGGGTTTGGTAAGATGAGTATAGAAAAATGACCACTGGGTTTGGCAGTTTATTTTTTAAGATTATTTATTTGAAAGGCAGAGTTACACAGAGAGAGGGAGAGACAATGAAGGAGATATTTCATCTGTTGGTTCACTCCTCAAATGGCTACAACAACCAGGGTTGGGCCAGACTGAAGCCTGGGATCTGGAATTTCATCGAGGTCTGCCACATGGGTGGCAGGGATCCAAGCAGATGGGCCCTCTGCTGTTGTCTTCCGAGGCGCATGAGCAGAGAGCCGGATTGGAAGTGGAGCAGTAGAACGTGAACCAGTGGTGCTTACATGAGATGCCAGTGTCACAGGCAGCGGCATAACCCACTGCGCCATCGTGTCGGCCCAGGATTTGGCAAATTAGACATTGTTTGTGACATTGCCAAGAAAACCTAGACTGAAATTAGTATTACTGTCACGAGTAAGAATCCTATTTTTGAAACAAATTTTAAATCTTTCTGTTTATTTGAAAGGTGGGGCTGGCTGTGGAGGGAGGGACAGACATCTTGTTTGTTCTCCAAATGTTCCACAACAGCCGTGTCTCTGTGTGGGTGGCAAGAACCAATCGCGTGAGCCATCACTACTGCTGCTAGGCTCCGCATTAGCAGGAAGCTGGACGTAGGAAGTTGGAGTCAACAGCCAGAGCTGGCTGTCAAACCCACGTACTCTGATGTGGGACATGAGCCTTTTAACCGCTAGGCTAAATGTCCACTCCAGAAAACTAATTTATTTTGATCTTAGCACAAATGTGTGGTAACATTGTTTATGAAAGCTTTTCTTTAATAAGTATTGAAATCAATATTTGATCAGAAATATATTTCATTTTAATATATTTCAATATATTTTGTCCCCAATCCAAGTACTAACCAGGCTTGACCCTGCTTAGCTTGCTCGATCAGATGAAATCAGGCACTTTGAGGGTATTGCGGTCATAGTGGAATACCATAGACGGGTCTGCTATAATGGAGTACCATAGGCAGGGTGATCTAAACAAGAAACATACTTTGCCCTTTGTTACTTTGGTCTCAATATTTTTCCTGTGGTTTTAATGTGTACCTTTTCATATGTAAGTATTCATATTTTGTTACATTTGATGATTTTCCAAAGTTTTTAGTTTTTACCTTTTAAAAAAATTTAGTTTTCAGTTGACACTTTATCTTTTTATTTTTTAAAAATTTATTCATTTATTTGAAAGGCAGAGATACAGAGAGAGGAGAGAGAGAGATCGATCTTCATCTGCAGGTTCACTCCCCAAATGGCTGCAATGGCCAGGGCTGAGCCAGGCTGAAGCTAGGAGATTCTTCTGGTTTCCCATGTAGGTGCAGGAGCCCAAACACTTGGGCCATCTCCTGCTACTTTCCCAAGTGTGTTAGCAGGGAGCTGGATCAGAAGTGGAGTAGCTATGTCGCAAACCAGAGGCCATATGGTATGGTGGCACTGCAGGTGGAGACTTAACCTTGTACACCACAGCACTAGCCCCTCAACCGACACTTTAAAAATGTTGTATTTTCTGTCAAATTTTTTTCTTTCCCCATTTCTTTTTCTGCTTTGAACATAGCAAAGAATTTTTACATGGATCTGAGGTATTATACATTTTGTTTGCTGCTAGTTTTTTTATTATTTGATTTACAAAAATTACTTTAGTTTACCTTGAGTTAATTTTGATGGAAGGCTTGAAATCATATTAAATAAATAATCCTACCCTTCCCATTTGTCCTGAGAAATCTACTTTTTCATATATTCAATCTTTTTTATATGTAAATTGGTCTTACCTTTTTTTTTTTTGGTTGATTTTTCTTCCTGCTTCTTTTTTGTGACAAACCCTCAAAGTCCTACATCAGGAAAAAAAAAAGAAGGTACTAAGGCCTGAACGTGTCCCTCTGTGTATACAACAGTTTACTCAGGGGAGGACTGCGGTTGTTCCATGTCATGTTGATTTTCTTGCTTGTCTCTCTGAGGTAAGGTAGAATTACAGAACTGACATTGTTGTGTCGTTATCTAAAACTACTACGGATTTTCTAAGACTCCTGTTCTCCAGAAGCATTAAGACTTCCAAAATAGTTACATTAATTAGCCAGTTCTCCAAATAGTAGCTTACTGTTATGAAGGCAGAGATTCACTTCTGATTTCAGAGGTGTCCTCTCTCCTCCTTGGTGCCTCGTGTATCACTCTGAGAATGTTAACCAAGCTGATTGTTTTGAACTGACTTGTTTTGCAGATACAGTGGAGGGTCTTGATGCACAGGTTGTACATGGCTACATAGTTCATGATCAGGAAAGCAAATCGGAGGTTCAGATTCCTTACCCTCTGTCAGAAAATAGTCAAGTGCAGAGTGGAAGAGCTTTCCATCATGGAAGATTTATCATGAGTCTCCGGAAAGCAGCTATGGCAGAGCCCAAGTAAGACTAACCGCTTCACATATATGATGTTAAAGAATTAATACACTTAAATTTGGCCTTTGTACAAATAAGATTTTATAAGTTTTATTGAAAGGACAGAGGACTACAGGGAGAAATTCCTGTTCCATTCTAAGTTCTCATCTGTTGGGACTGACTTCTCTTGGTTATTGCCTTCTATTTGCCTGTGGCCTTTAAATAGTCTAACAGAGGGAGTTTTTAACAAGAGAACCTTTATGTGATTGACACAGACTTAAGTGTTGATAAAGCAGGTGAAGAAGTCAGTGGACTTCTCCTTGGGACTGAAAGAGCTTGTGATCTGTGCAAGTAAAATATGAAAAATATCATTTTTGACTAGAAATAATTTGGTGGATAAACCCAAAACTCTTTTCTCCCCCTCTGTTTATAATTGTGTGTGGGTATATAGTTTCTCTACATGTACTTATTTTTTCATTAAGATAAAAAATCTAATGTGACTTTTAAAAATACTTTTTGCTTATTACATTAGTAATATGCATTCAGTATTGATAAATAAGAACATAAAAATCACACATAATTTTAAAGCCCATTAGTGACGTTTTCCCTTTTCGTCATTCCAGACCTCTGTCTATGCACATGTATGTATACACACATGCATATTTAGTTTATATGACTAAACTTGGGATAAGGAATATTTTTCATGTCTAATTTAAATGGCTCAAGAGTGCTACTATAGAAATTTGTTTGTTTATCCTTTAGCACAAAATTTATTGAAGGCATTGTGCTACAGTTATTAGAGGAAGATGACGTTGTGATGGGTGTTCAGTACAAGGATAAAGAGACTGGAGATATCAAGGTGAGATTTATTAGATGTCATCTCTTCCCGAGAAATGCGGTTTTTCCTTCTTTTTCTCTTAGTTTCAAAAACTAGGCTCACTGGTTTATTATTTATCAGATGGAGTGAGTTCTCACTGAGCTTTATGTGAGAGGTTTCAGATTGCAACACCGTGCTTTTTTAGGACATCTCATAATGCTATACAAAAGACTTTTTAAACAAAACTTACTATGTTAACAGTACTAAAAGCTGGAGTGAAGGGGAGGGCATTTGGTGCAGTGGTTGAGACACCACTTGGGATGACTGTGTTCTATATACGAGTGCCTGGGTTTGCATCCTGGTGCTGCTTCTGATGCCAACTTCCTGGTAATACACACCCTGGGATCCAGCAGATGATGGCTCAAGTACTTGGGTCTCTGCCATCCACATGGGAGACCTGGACTGAGTTTTCTTTTCTTTACTTTTCTTTTCTTTTCTTTTTTAACTTTTATTTAATGAATATAAATTTCCAAAGTACGACTTATGGATTACAATGGCTTCCCCCCCATAGAGCGAGAGAGAGGAGAGAGCATGCGCTCCATAGGGTTACCCTCTCCTATAGTTTGTACTCTCATGAGGGCAATTGCGTCTTTTTCTGCTTGTGTGATAGTACAAATATATACTGTCATTTCAACAAAAGTTGTAATAAGACCTAGCCAGATTTAAAAGCACAATGTGAAGTCAGACAATTCTAGGGTAAAAGAATCCGGCTAGTCTTCAGTGGCCCAAGCTTGCCTTGAGGTTGTTTCCTCTATTGTCTATCAAAGTGTGGAGTAATCCCAGATGGTTTCGATGGCAGAGCTGCCAAAGGAGAGGAGCCTCATGGATTCAGGAAGTCTCTAAAGGTAAAGGTCATGCATTATCTTAAGCTCACATAACAGTTTCTTCTTTTTTCCTGAAGATTTATTTATTTGAAAGGCAGAGTTTACAGAGAGAGAGAGAGAGACAGGGATAGTGTTTTTTCATCAATCACTTCCTCAATGGCTACAACTGCCAGAGCTGGGCCAGTCTGAAGCCAGGAGCCCGGAGCTTCTGGGTCTCCTAGGGGCTACAGGGGCCTAAGCATTTGACCATCTTCTGCTCTCCTAGGCACATTAGTAGCGAGCTGTATCAGAAGTGGAGCAGCTGGGTTTTTAACTGGAACGCATATGGGATGTTGGCATCACCTGCTGTGCCACTACGCTGGCCCCCAGTTTCTTCTAAAGCAAAATTTTCAACTACTCTGTAATATTGGTACCCAATAATATATTTACATCTGTTCATGTACATTTTTAAAGACTGATCTTCTTACTGTGCATCTGGCCATTTGGCTGAGAATTCTTTGTCTCTGTTACAGGAACTCCATGCTCCATTGACAGTTGTTGCAGATGGGCTTTTCTCCAAGTTCAGGAAAAACTTGGTCTCCAATAAAGTTTCTGTTTCATCTCATTTTGTTGGCTTTCTTATGAAGGTAACGTAGGAGTGTAATTGTAAAGAAATAACAGCAAGTTGAAATTTGAAAATTGTTAAAAGTATTTCATTTTGCTTTTTTAGAATGCACCACAGTTTAAAGCAAATCACGCAGAACTTATTTTAGTTAATCCGAGTCCAGTTCTCATCTACCAGATTTCATCTACAGAAACTAGAGTGCTTGTTGACATTAGAGGAGAAATGCCAAGGAACTTAAGAGAATACATGACTGAAAAAGTTTACCCACAAATACCTGGTAAGAAATAGGATTTTGCTTCTATTGTCTGAAAGCAAATTTCACAAAAAGACACTCCATATCCAGTTCTCACTAAAGCTGTGTCTTAAATAGGCCAGAAAGAAGGGTGCAGGTAAAAAGAATGCATTCAGTGAACCAGATATGCTGGAACTGAACTATTTTTTAAAGATTTATTTATTTGAAAGACAGAGTTACACAGAGAGAGGAGAGGCAGAGAGAGAGGTCTTCCATCCACTGGTTCACTCCCCAATTGGCCACATTGGCCAGAGCTGTGCTGATCTGAAGCCAGGAGCCAGGAGATTCTTCCATGTCTCCCATGTGGGTGCAGGGGCCCAAGCACTTGGGCCATCTTCTACTGCTCTCCCAGGCCATACCAGAGAGCTGGATTGGAAGTGGAGCAGCCGGGACTTGAACCGGCGTCCTCATGGGATGCTGGCACTGCAGGCGGTGGCTTTACCTGCTACACCATAGCACTGGCCCCTGGAACCAAACTATTTAACCTAACATGTTTAAAAAACAAAACACACATGGATTCAAAACGTCATGTTGTACCCCTTCAATAGGTACAATTATTATGTGTCAATTGAAAATTAAAAATAAGAAACTCTCCAAATGAAAAAAAAAAATTTCAGTGTTTTTGCTATCTTAATAAAGCATAGTATTCAGAATAATTATTAATATTGGCATATATCATAGTTTTTAAAGTAGCCTGGACAACAATCTAAGGTCTTTGAGTTCTTGAAATATGTCATAAACTTAACTGTTTTTATGCATGATTTTTATGGTAATAATAGCTGCCATTTATTGAATGCCTACTATATAGGAGATATTTCACAATTTTCTTTAATTCTACACTGCTCATTAGGAGGCAGGCATTATCATTAGTCCCGTTTTACAGATGAGAGACCTAAGGTTCAGAGAGATTACGTAGCTTCTGTAAGGATGAACTGTTTATGACAGAGCCAAGATTGACACCAGTTCTTTCTGGCTCAGATGCACCTGTTCTTTTTTTTTTAAGATTTATTTACTTGAAAGTTAGAGTTACACAGAGAGAGAAGGAGATGCAGAGAGACAGGGGTCTTCCATCCGCTGGTTGACTCACCAATAGGCTGCAATGGCTGGAGCAGCACCAATCTGAAGCCAGGAGCCAGGAGCTTCTTCCAGGTCTCCCACGTGGGAGATTCACCTGTTCTATCATGCCTGCCCTCAGAAAATGAGCATTGCAGGGGGTCTTTGAGATGATTTTAGTTTTAAGTTGAATACAAAGGCTTCAGGAAACTTTAGATGTCTTTATAAAAAAATTCCTTTTTTACATATCCAGAATTTTTATTGAACTAGTTTACTTTTATTTTTTAATAATAAGAAGATGTAGGAGAGAAATGTACATTATTAAGAATTTTGATAAAATTGAAGGGAAACCCTACTGGTCAATTATAAGATTAATAGAAAACTATTCTTGATATAAGTATGTTTTGTGTAAATATTCTGGTTTTTTTCAATTTATTTTTTAAACTAGGTAAAACCATTCTGTTGAATAACTAGTAGAATATTAATAAAAATGAAGTGAAGTAAAACAGTGGACAAAGTTAGATTTTTAATAATGACATTTTCAACATACGTACACACAGACATTTCAATAAATTTTCACTTAAGTCATTTATGAAGTTTTCAGATGGGAACATTAGTTATGAATATTTAGGAGACAATTTTGTTACCTGATATTTTTAGCATATTTTTTTTCTTTTGCTGTAGCTTTTTTTTTCTTCCAATCCAGATTAATTGGAGTAGCTTGATTTGAAATCATGATGAGAAATGTAGGTTTATATTAATATTAGTTAGGTTATGGAGATTCTACTCTTTGTGGATGGTAAAGTTTGAACATAGTGAAATCCTCCTTTGTTGTCTTACTCTGGGAACTCTGTGACAGTTCATTTTCTTTTTTTTATTTTATTTTATTTTTTGACAGGCAGAGTGGACAGTGAGAGAGAGAGAGACAGAGAGAAAGGTCTTCCTTTTGACATTGGTTCACCCTCCAATGGCCACCGCGGCCGGCGTGCTGCGGCTGGCACACCGGCCGATCCGATGGCAGGAGCCAGGTACTTATCCTGGTCTCCCATGGGGTGCAGGGCCCAAGCACTTGGGCCATCCTCCACTGCACTCCCTGGCCACAGCAGAGAGCTGGCCTGGAAGAGGGGCAACCGGGACAGAATCCGGCGCCCTGAACGGGACTAGAACCCGGTGTGCCTGTGCCGCAAGGCGGAGGATTAGCCTAGTGAGCCGCAGCGCTGGCCCATTTTCTATACAAGTAGAAGCACAAAACTTTAAAACTGGGAAATGTTGTAGAGATGAGTTAATCTAACCATTTCACTTTAATATATATATATATATATATATTTATTTATTTGAAAGGCAGAGTTAGAAGGAGATAGAGAGATCTTCCATCTCTGGTTCACTCCCCAAATGGCTGCAACAGCCAGTTGTTACATCTGGGTCTCCAACATGGGTACAGGGACCCAAGGACTTGGGCCATCTTGTGCTGCTTTTCCAGGCGCATTAGCAGGGAGCTGGATTGGAAGTGGAGCAGCCAGGACTTGAACCAGCACCCATATGGGATGGTGGCATCATAGGTGGCAGCTTAACTGTTAACCACAGCGCTGGCCCCAGCCATTGCATTTTATTGCTAAAGCAACTGAGGCTCAGGGAGGTAAAACTGATGTGTGCTTCTGAATCTAATTCTTTTTTAGTGTGTAAACTCTTCCACTGTTTGTGAAGTGGTGTAGTGCATTTCATCTGATGTTATCAGAATATGTTGATACAGTATATTAAATTTTAAGCACGACAGCTGTCAGCTAACATTAGAAAGAGGGTTGGATGTGTTGCTCCCTATCTCATCTCATCTGGATCCACGTCACTCTTCCAGTTTCTTTGTTCATTTCAGCTGTATGTATGCCTGTTTACATGGATTTTCTCTTAGATGCATTAGTTACTCCTTAGCCTGAACAACTGATGCTTAATGGATAATTTTATTAACAAAATAGATAATACATACCTTGATTTATCACAAGGGATGTATGTAATAGCCATGGCAGATGAACAGTAGGTATTTATATTGGATAAGAAACTGTTATAATTAAAGTGTTATAAACCATTTTTTGGGTGTGTATGATTTATTGCAGACCACCTGAAAGAATCATTCCTGGAAGCCATTCAGAATTCTCGTTTGAGGTCTATGCCAGCAAGCTTCCTTCCTCCTTCACCAGTAAACAAACGAGGTATCAGTACTTCGAATGACTTACGTGATTAAGTTATGCTGTTGTGAGGATGCAGGAAAGAGAATTGCTTACTACAGATTAACACATTCCTGATACCTATATTAATGTTATATATTTACTTATTTAATAATTGTATATAAGTCACTGTGCTAGTCAATGGGGATACAACAATTAAAGACCTGTCCTTGGGCTGACACTGTGGCGCAGCAGGTTAAGCTGCCGTCTGCAGTGCTGGCATCCCATGTGGGTGCCGGTTCAAGTCCCGGCTGCTCCACTTCTGATCCAGCTCTCTGCTGTGGCTTGGGAAAGCAATAGCAGGTGGCCCAAGTAACTCTGCTTCTCAAATAAATAAATAAATCTTAAAAAAATATTGTCCTTACCCAGCAAAGGCAGTTTCTGGTTAGAAATACAGACTGATAATTTCACAACATTGTTCGTAAGTTTTATAACAAAAACCCATTCATTGGCCGGCGCCTTGGCTCAATAGGCTAATCCTCCGCCTTGCGGCGCCGGCACACCAGGTTCTAGTCCCAGTCGGGGCGCCGGATTCTTTCCCGGTTGCCCCTCTTCCAGGCCAGCTCTCTGCTGTGGCCTGGGAGTGCAGTGGAGGATGGCCCAAGTGCTTGGGCCCTGCACCCCATGGGAGACCAGGAGAAGCACCTGGCTCCTGCCATCGGATCAGCGTGGTGCGCCGGCCGCAGCGCGCCAGCCGCGGCGGCCATGGGAGGGTGAACCAACGGCAAAAGGAAGACCTTTCTCTCTGTCTCTCTCTCTCTCACTGTCCACTCTGCCTGTCAAAATAAATAAATAAATAAAAATAAAAACCCATTCATGGTACCTCTTGCTCACTGTGAAGGTGTGTGCAAGGCAGAGAGGAGAGTTTGTGAAATGGAAAGGGTGGTGAGGAAGGACATTGCTCAGGAGATAAAGCTGGAATTGAACCTGGAGGATGAGTGGGAGTTTGTTTGGTGGACACTGAGAAACACGGAGGAACTTAGAAGTAAATGAAATATCTGCAGACTAGAGGGGCTAGGATTGATACTTTCACAGAACTCAGTTTCCTATGGATAGGACCTACGGCTGTTTAACATGAATATATAGAATATATATAGAATATATGTTTAACATGTAGGTTTTTTTTTTAAAGATTTATTTTATTTTTTGAAAGACTGAGGTAGAGAGGTAGAGCAGAGAGAGAGAGGGAGGACTTCCATCTGCTGCTTCATTCCCCAAATGGCCGCAACGACCAAAGCTGAGTTGATCCGAAGCCAGGAGCTTCTTCAGGTCTCCCACATAGGTGCAGAGGCCCAAGGACCTGAGCCATCCTCTGCTGCTTTCCCAGGCACATCAGCAGGGAGCTGCATTGGAAGTGGAGCAGGTGGTACTTGAACCAGTGCCCATATGGGATTCTGGTGCTGCAGACCGGGTCTTTAACCCACTGTGCCACAGTGCCGGCCCCTAATGTGTAGTTTTAATCCTGTAGACAATTGAAAACATTGAAATATTTTTGGTAGTGGGTTTTTTGTTTTTAAAAGATGTATTCATTTATTTGTTTGACAGAGTTAACAGAGAGAGAGGGAGAGATAAAGATATCTTACATCCACTAGTACCCAGATGGCTGTATCAGCCAGGGCTGGGCCGGGCCAAAGACAGGAGCCAGGAGCTTTTACTAGGTCTCCCGTGTGAGTGCAGGGACCAAGCACTTGGGTCATCTGTTGCTGCTTTTCCCAGGTTTACAGGGAGCTGGGTTGGAAGTGGAGCAGCTGGGACAGGAACTGGCACCCATACGAGATACGGCATCACAGCAGCAGCTTTATCGGCTATACCACAACACCGGCCCCTTGGTAGTGGTTCTATTGAGATAAAACTTGCAAATCATTCAGTTCACCCATTTAAAGTGTACAAGTCCACGGTTATTTTAGTATGTTCAACAAGTATGTACAACTATCACCACAATCAAATTTAGAACATTTTTATCACCCTAAAAAGAAATCCTGCACTCATTAGCAGTTACTTCTCATTTCCTCCCAGTTCTCAGCCCTAGGCACTACTAATTTACTTTGTCTCTTAAATTTGCCTATTCTTGCTGTTTCCTATAAATGAAATCATACAACGTGTGGTCCTTTGTAACTTGCTTTTCACTTGGCATGTTTTTGAAATTTATTCACGTAGCATGTATCATTCCTTCATTTGCTTTTATGGCCAAACACTATTCCGTGGTGTGAATGCATCTCATTTTGTTTTTCCGTGAAACAACTGATACACATTTGTGTTGTTTTGGGTTTTGATTATTAGAAACAGTGCTGCTGTGAACATCTATGTATGAGTTTTTTTTTTTTTGTTTTTTGTTTTTTTCTTTTTAAAATGTCTGTCTACTTATTTGAAAGGGTGAGAGAGAGGGAGGAGAAAGAGACCTCCACCCACTGGTTCACTCCCAGAAGACTGCAGTAGCCAGGTCTCAGGCTGAAGCCAGGAGCCCGGAATTCCATCCTGGTTTCCCTTGTGGGGGACACATGTACTTGGGCTACCTTTCACTGAAGCAGAATAACCAGTGCTCCAACTGGCACTCCAATATGGAATGCCAGCATTGCATCTGGCAGCTAATAAACCCATTGCACCGTATCGCTGGCCCCTGTGTGCAAGATTTTGTATGGGCATATTAAAAGATTTTATTTACTTATTTGAGAGGTAGAGTTAAAGACAGTGAGAGGAAGAGACAGAGAGAAAGGTCTTCCCTCTGTTGGTTCACTCCCCAAATGGCCGCAACAGCTGGAGCTGTGCCAATCTGAGGCCGGGAGCCAGGAGATTCTTCCAGGTCTCCCATGTGGGTGCAGGGGCCCAAGCACTTGGGCTATGTTCCACTGCTTTCCCAGGCCACAGCAGAGAGCTGGATTGGAAGAGGAGCAGCCGGGACTAGAACCAGTGCCCATATGGGATGCCCGGTGCTACAGGCGGAGGATTAATGTACTGCGCTACACACCGGCCCTGGGCATATGCTTTTTTATTTTATTTTATTTTTTTGAAAGAGTTACAGAGAGAGGTCTACCATCCGATGGTTCACTCCCCAATTGGCTGCAATGGCTGGAGCTGTGCCAATCCGGAGCCAGGAGCTTCCTCCAGTCTCCCATGGGGGTGCAGGGGCCCAAGGACTTGGGCCATCTTCCACTGCCTTTGCAGGCCACAGCAGAGAGCTGGATTGGAAGTGGAGCAGCCGGGACTAGAACCGGCGCTATATGGGATGCTGGTGCCTCAGGCCAGGGCATTAACCCGCTGTGCCACAGTGCTGGCCCCTGGCATATATTTTCACTTTTGGAGATTTTTTCTTAGGAGTAGAATTCTGGATCATAAGGTAACTTTGTTTACAGTTTTGAGGAGCTTCTACAATGGCTGTTCCATTTTACATTCCCATCAGCAAGGTCAGAGGGCTCGAAGTTCTTCATATCCTCAGGATTTACTCTTCGCCATCTTTTTGCTCATAGCCATCCTGTAGGTGTGTCTGCTCCTCTCATGAATAATCTTGCACATCTTTTCATGTGTTTCTAGGCCATTTGCTTATCTTCTTTGATGAGAAATGTCTATCCAGACGGCATGGTTTTGAATTGGGCAAATGTAAAAATTCTTTATTGTTAAGAAAAATTCTTTAAATATTCTAGGCTGTAAATCTTTTTATATAGGTGCGTGTGTGTTTTGCAAAATTTATCTCATTCTGTGGATTTTCTTTCCATTTTTTTTTTTTTTAATTTACTTATTTGAAAGGCCATGTGACAGGGAGTAAGAGCTACACAGATGGTCATTCCTTCTGCTGGGTTCACTCCCAGAGTGCCTGCAGTAAGTAGAGCTAGGCCAGGCTGAAGCTAGGGCCAGAACTCCAGCTGGGTCTCCCACTTGGCTGTCAGAGGCCTAAGTACTTGGCCCAGGATCAGTTTCTTTCTCAGGCATGTTAGCAGGAAGCTTGGATTGGTGGCACTCTGATATGAGATGCCAGTGTTGCAAGTGGTGGCTTAACCCACTGTGTCATAATACCAGCCCCATTTCCATTTTTCTTGATGGCATCTGTGCAGTACATGTTTTTAATTTTCTTGAAGTTTGGTTTACTTTTTCTTTTGTTGCTTGTGTTTTTGATGATATATCTAAGAAATCTTTTACCAATCCAATGTCACAAAGATTGATTTTCATATTTTTTCTAAGACATATGGTTTTAGTTCTTACATTTAGGATTTAGATCCATTTTGAGTTAAATTTTGTGTAGGGTATGAGGAAGGGATATTTTGTTATGGTTGTCCAGTTGTCATGGTAACATTTGTTGCAAAGACTATTAATCTCCCATTAATTTTTTGTCATTCTTGCTCAAATTCAGTTGACTATAAATGTAAAATTTATTTCTTTAACTATTATGAATTGACTTTCAGTAATATGAATTAAAAATGTTAATGGGTTAAAAGATGTTTATTTTGTTGTGAAAAAATTTTGAAAGTCCTAGATTTTTTATAAGTGTTTTCCATAATTTTCTGAAGCTCCCTTGTATTCTGTAGTTTTTCATAGTGTAAGTTTTGCATTTCTTTTTTAAATTTATTCTGGATTTCTTTCTGAATTTCATTTTAAGATTGGTTCTTGCATGTTTATTGTACATCTTAAAACCTTGCTGAACTCTTTAGTTCTAGCAGTTCCTTCAAAAGTATTAAATAATGTGGTGGCATGATTTTTTATTTTAGAGATACTACTCTGACATTGTTGTGGAAGATAGTTTGCGGGGAAGTTCAGATTGAAACAAAAATAGTGAGGCTATTTATATTCTGAGTGAGTGACAGTCAAGGCCACAACTAACTACTAGGCTTGTAAAATGGGAGGTAGGGAATGGATTTGGGTCTATGATGTAGAATGAATGAAATTTAGAGATTCATTAAGCATTGGAGTAAGAGGGAATGGGACTTCTTGAATACTGGTTTCAGGCTTAGTTTTGCTAGCCATTTGCTGACAGAGGCATAGGGAAAAAGAGTTGCGCTTAAGGAAAGCATGGGGAGAGGTGATGAATCCAGGTTTACAAGGTGTGGCGTGCCAGTACAGCGTTTGACCGGGGTGTCTGGAACATGATTGACAGCACGCGTCTGGATCGCAGAGTGGTGTGGTCTGAATGGGGGCTGTTGATGTCCTCTTCTTCCCGAATGGAGAGACTGCAGGATGCCCTAGAAGCACGTCTAATGAACTACCAACCATAAATGATAAAGCAGAATGAAGTTATGCCTTAACTGATATAAAAAAACATGCCGTGGAAACTCAACCTAATCGGCAGGATTGGGAATGTTCCATGGAAAAAGAATAAAAGCTGGACCTAGTTTGTGTTTTTTTTAATGAAGATTTCTGAGTAATATATAAAAATTTAACATTTAGGCCATTTGGGGAATGAACCAGTAAATGAAAGATCTGTTTCTCCTCTCTAACTCTGCCTCTCAAATAAATCTTTACACAATAACATTTAGAAGCTACCTTTTTATAAATAATATTTGTATGAATGTAGTGTAACTTTACAGAAATGATTATCCATAATTCTCCTAAAACCATTATTGTGGTCTGTTTTTCTCAGATAAAATCAACTCATTGTTCTGTGTAAAGGTCCCACTCGGTGACAGGTCGTTAAGCAGTCTGAGAATGGATTAGGAAACTTAGGCAGCGCCGAGAGGCACTGGGAGGCACACTGTGGAGCTTTCTGCTTTTGTGCTTTTGATCCAAGGCAGCTGTTACCTAACATTTCATTAAAGTTATCTAATATTTCGTTAAGGTTTATTCTAAATTTATCATCTGCTCATTCTGAAATACGTCGCTATTTTGTTTTCTACTTGAACTACAATAGGGCTACTTTCTTGAGGCCTACTCTTTCCCTTGGAACTATATAGACATTTGGAACTATATAGACATTTCTCTCTACTGTGGATACTGCTGTGAGATGCCAAATATATACTGATGTTTTTTCCCTAGCGTAAGACTTGTTTTTTATACCTGGCTGGCTGTAGATTTTTTTTTTCCCAAAATTTATTTTGCAAAACGCCATGTAGATGTATTGGCATTGTTGCACTAAATGTTAGGCTTTTGAGTAGATTTCTGGAGGGCAGAGGCCACGCTGCTGTTCTCATTGTGTCTCCACAGCCTGGCACACATTTTGTACCTAGTCAACGCTGACTTAATCAGATCTTGAATTTTGTGCCTCACTAGGTTTAGTCGTGATGTGTTCCCTTGCATTTTCACATTCTTATTTAATCATTCCTAACTCACACGAACAATATTTATAAATTACAGAGCTGTCATTTTTTCTCTTGTCTTAAGTGATGTCCCAGGATATCACAGTTTTAACGGCCTCTCTTTACAGGTGTGCTTATTTTGGGAGATGCATATAACATGAGGCATCCTCTTACGGGCGGAGGAATGACTGTTGCTTTTAAAGATATAAAAATATGGAGAAAACTGCTCAAGGGTATCCCTGACCTTTATGATGATGCAGCTGTCTTCCAGGTGAGGCATTAGATTATTCTCTGATAAAAACATCTCAAAATAGATTTTCTAGGGACTAAGATAGAGTGTTGTGTAGGAATCCTGATTCTTCATAATAGTTCTTAGGCAGTCTTGTTTAGGCTTAGCAAACCAGACTTGGAACCTGTGAATTGACAGTACTTAAAAATTGCTGTATTTGAATATTATCCAACACTGGATTGCTCACAGTGGTTGTAAATGTAGCTTCGGAGTTCGTATAGCCCATTGCTGTGAAGACGCCTTGATTCTGTAATGACAGATGTAAGGCTGCCTTGCATGTAGTTAGACTTCAGGATTAAATATCAGTTTGAGAGGATTATAAACATCAGTTTTTGCTTTACTGTGTAATAAGTGATCTTTTTCCTTTTCAGGCCAAAAAGTCATTTTATTGGACAAGAAAAAGGTCTCATTCCTTTGTTGTGAATGTCCTTGCTCAGGCACTTTATGAATTATTTTCTGCCACAGATGGTAAGTGTAGATCTTTAAGTATTACTGAACTGCAGATTCTTAAGGCAAGGAAGAATCTTAGTAAAAAAGTTAGTGATTAGCCTAAAAATCAAAATGTTACCTGAGTTTGCTGACTCCCACGTTGTATTTCTCTTTAACTCTGTCACTGAGCAGGATTTTTAGTTTCTAATCATCATATATCCACCACTCTGTCTTGGAAGGCTGTTGACTTTCTTTACACAACACAGTAGCAGTACTACAGTAGTATATTCATGATTTTCAGTTTCTCTGGTCCAAACTGGGTTCTTCATATCCCGAAATGTTTAAGACTGTGATGGGTGGTCTTTCCTAAATACTAGCTTTGATTTCTTTGTAAGATAATGTTTTTAAAATAAATATAAGCTTCAAATCAAGTTTAGATTTGAAGCAGCAAAATGCATTTACCCTTTACTCACTGGAAATCCTCCTGTGGTTTTTTTGTGTCCATATTTTAGAGAGGTGATGCTCAATCTGTGTGAAAGTTTGAGCATCCCTAATTCACAACTCTGAAACCTGAAATGTTCCAAAGTCTACAAGTTTCTCAGTGTCATTTCTGCAATGCTGTGGTCCCAAGTATTTTGAATAACTTGCAGAAGTGGTGTTGGAAATGGAGGAAAAGGCAGCTGTGCCACCTCCCAACCATAGCAGTTTAAAAGTGAGTTAGTGGTAGATTACTAAAACGACTTCTGGGTTTTGAAGAATAAATATGATTTAAATTGCTTTACTCCAGAACATTTGCAACATGGCTATTTTATGACCTGGCCCAGGCGCTATTGGTGACGGTACAAAAGAAAATACAATATAAATGCTTTCGTTGTCCTCTGTAACCATCAACTCTTGATAAAAGAATTAAACAACTGGCTGTGATGCAAAGCACATTTTCTCCTACATTGGCATATTAGTTAAAATAGCTTGGCAAATAAGAACTAATAGGTTTTGAGCTTCCCTAGGCTCTTGAATTATGGATTTGACTATACCAGCAAAACAGAAGTTCCCTGTTAGATCTTCTGTTGTAAAGAAAATTCTAGGCATGCCTTGAAAAGAATATTGATTCTAAGCTGTTTAAAAGGTTACTGATACACTATGATGTGAGGGTTTAAGGAGTTATTTTGAAAAGGCTTTAAAAATTACAGATAGAAGGTTGTTATTAGTTACTAGTTAACCAAATTATCAAGTAAAAAGAACAGGTTTAAGAGATGGTAAGCATCTCAAGACTGGAAATTTGGTTCCTAGAATTGTGTTTTTATAATAGTTTACAAAGTATTTTGCACCTTTTTGTGAATTTACAGTATCAGGAAATAACGTTTAAACAACTCTAACTTCTGAGACCTAAATGTTAGTACGATAATTATTAACCAAGAAATGTGCTTATCTTATACAAGTAATGTTGATTAAAAGAAACCCTGGAACTAGATAGTTAAAAGTCATCTTTAAGGCCTGCATTTTTCATCACTACGTTTTCTGATGTATTATTAACACTGTAACATAAATATGTGAATATTCTGATTGAGAGTAATTTTTCAATTTTATTTTAGATTCCCTTCATCAGCTAAGAAAAGCCTGTTTTCTTTACTTCAAACTTGGTGGAGAATGTGTTGCCGGTCCTGTTGGGCTGCTTTCTGTGTAAGTTGTTTTGATGGCACAAGAGGAAACGTGCATTCCAGATTTTCATTAAGACTATTCAGTTTGGGCCGGCGCTAATCCTCTGCCCCCGGTGCCAGCACCCCGGGTTCTGGTACCGGTTGGGGCACCGGATTCTGTTCTGGTTGCTCCTCTTCCAGGCCAGCTCTCTGCTGTGGCCCGGGAAGGCAGTGGAGGATGGCCCAGGTGCTTGGGCCCTGCACCCCATGGGAGACCAGGAGAAGCACCTGGCTCCTGCCTTCGGATAGGTGCAGTGCACTGGCTATAGCGGACACTTGAGGGGGTTAACCAACAGAAAAGGAAGACCTTTCTCTAACTCTGCCCGTCAAAAAAAAGACGATTCAGTTTGGATTATCACAAATCCTTGCTGTATACATTCTGTCCTGTTATTTATTAGTTTCCCAATCAGAAGGTGGCCCATAGGAATGAAAAATGGCAGCGTTCAGCTGTTATTTCTAGAAAACAGTAGCAGGAGAGGCAGCTTCACTAAAAAAGCAGCTGCTTTGTTTCTCTGTGGGTTATCCACATAATCTCATCTGTAGGATCCATGAGTAATGGAGAAATTTGAATTTAAAAATGAATTTGATTGAAGTGTGAAGACTCATGAAACTCAGTATTAGTTTTGACAGTGTGGACATAGGTATTGGAAAGTCCACAAAGTGAAATTCTTTGATCATTTCTCATTCATCTTTACTCTGAATGTCAATACTGATATTTTTGGAAAGACTTAGGCTTCAGCAGGTCAACCATTTAGTGTTTCAGCCTGGGATCTCAGATTAGTGAAAGAAAAGAGCTCAAAATATATGACTTATGTATTCTAGAGCAAGGTGAGTTACTGGCTTCTCTGAAAAGAATGCTAAATTTCTTATAAAACAAAATTTTCTTGTCATTAGTAACTTAACAGATAAACTTTTAAAGTCTTCTTAAATGTGGAATGTGTGTTAATTTCTGGGTCTTACAAAATTTTCTTTTCTATTACAGATTGTCTCCTAACCCTCTAGTTTTAATTGGACACTTCTTTGCTGTTGCATTGTATGCCACATATTGTTGCTTTAAATCAGAACCTTGGATTACAAAACCTCGAGCCTTTCTCAGTAGTGGTGCTGTACTGTACAAAGCGTGTGCTGTAATATTTCCTCTGATTTACTCAGAAATGAAGTTTGTGGCTTATTAAGCTGAAAAGGGAACCATCTGGAACTCAACAAGTCCTAAGAGACTTCTGGAAGCGGATGTACAGAGCATGGTACTCTACTACTTCTCAAGTGGAAACTCTTGGACCAAGTTTGAGATCAGTTTGTTTTTTTGAAGTTTTTTGTATATAAGCATGTACATATGCCTAAATTTGCAATTTTAAATGAAGGGTCAAATAAGTTAGATATTTAAAAGAAATGATTGTTACCATAAATTAGTGCTAACAGAAGAACTGCAGTTTTTCTTTGGATTTCAGTATTTGGGATGCGTCGTTGGTACATACAAATAAAAGAGTGACCTCTCGTGACTTTTTGTTTCTTGTTGTGGACTTGTTTACGTGGTTTCATGACGATGGAAAGAAAAGTGAAGCCTGTTCCGTCAAGTAACTCACTCTGGGGAAGCGCCTCTCGCTGCCTTCTCTAGTGATGTAATCTCAGTTTCCACACTCCTGTAGGGAAATCATTCGAGGGCTTTTACAGTTCCACTGCGTAACACTAATAAGCCAGGGTGCTTTATTTCAGAAACGGTGAGTGAGTAAGCACTTGGGATACCTGGCAGACGATCTTAAAATCAGAATTTGCTGAGTTTATCTACAGTAAATCTGAAGAGATTAAGGACATTCAAAGGGTACTGTAAGATTTTAGTAAATTCCCAGATATCATTAATGTAAATTACTACCCTTGAAAGAAAACTAAACATTTCAGCTAATAACAGTTAAGGCTAAAATGACTTGTAAAGCTTTTAGAATAAAAATTTCCACTTTTCTCCTTTAACGGAGAAAATATTTCACTGGTCAAATCAGTAGGAAAATCAGTTTCAAGTGTCACTTTGTCTTGTTTAACCATTCTTTTGCTTTCATGAGATTTACCTCTAATCTCAAACTTCTGCTTTCTGATTAAAAACTGCCTTAGAGCTTCCTTTTAGCAGCCGACTTTGTCCTCGCTTCACATGGATGGAGAAGAGCATGGCATTTCTGATTGGCTGTTTCCTGAACCAGCCTCACGGGGCGAGACCGAGTGCCCTGGGCCTCCGTGCCCCGCCACAGCTGGACGGTGAGGCTGCCTTCTGCTCCACTGACTCCATTAACACCTTTCCCACTGTGACAATGAAACAAAGCCTGGAGGGTTTCCCCCCTTCTCCTTCTATGCATCTCAGGATTTGAGGCTTTCTGACAGAAGAAGTAACTTCCCAGAAAACAAAAAAACCTGGATTACTTAGTTCTCCCTGTACAAAGATGCCAGGAGGCGGGCTTGGGACAAGGTTGAGCTGGTTGCAGAACTAGAAAAAAACTTTGCCTTGACTATAAACCAATGCTTCTTACCCTACAACTTGCTAAATGATTGGCAAGCACTTTTCAGATCCAGTTTTGCTTTTGCTTTTTCACTTGTTCTCTCCAGAGAAGGGCACTGCCAGCTATAGATTCAGGGCTGAAATATTTCTCTGGTGTCATTCAAGTTTTTGATGTTCGTGTAGCTGCAGTAGGATGGTAGCTTCCTTTTTGGGGTAATTTTTACGCAGACATGAGTTGGGATTTTGATGGAGGTACAAGCTAAGTGGTTAACAGCCACCAGAAAAGGGGAACATGAAGCTATGGGTACCAATATGGATTTAGGGCCTCGGGGCAGGGCTCAGGAGGTGCAGAGAAAGGTAGGCTGGAACGAGCAGCTGAGGTTAAGGAATACCTAGTTTTGTTAGAGCGCGGTGAACCTTGGACATCAAGAAACTTCTGTGGCACTTGGGACACAGATTGTGGTCACTACATTTGTACTATTCTAGCTGTCTCCAGGTGCCTACCAGGCTATCATGGGTGGGCCATAGTACCTTGCAGGGCCATCTCTTACCTTCCCAACAGGGTTTTGAAAGAGTGAATATATAGTTTTTAATCAAAAGCAGAAGGACGACTTTGGGTACTGTCAATTCTATTTTACTGAAAATCTGGAGTTGCACAAATAGTTCTTTAGAACATAAAACTAAATGGATTTATACATAACAGTTACATTCAGCATTTATAAGAGGCAGTACAAAAATGTGTTCTGCTTCTACATGATATAAATTGTATAGAATACCATTATTTAAACAGTATTAATCATATTAACTAGTGCTGTGAGATACATCTTACCCAGAATGGCTGATGTTTCCCACAGTGGAGGGAAAATACGCAGTTATATGAACTGTTGAGGTTTTTTTCATTTCCAAATTCATTTTAGTGATGGTGGGAAGATTTTGGGATGATCCTTTCATTGAAGAAATAGGAGAAAAAAGTTATAGGACTGTTCTGAATTCATCAAAAATGAAATTAGGCACATGTGCTTCAGCAACCTGAAAAACAAGAGTAATTCACAGCGTTAAAGTAGAACCAAGTTCAAGATTTTCCATATGGAAATTCATGAAACGATATCCTTTGGAGCAGGATGGATTACAGGGAAGAGCTGGACTCACATGGGGGGACTGCACCTGAAATAGCCACTTGCTGTTTCTCGTGTCCTCTGGCACTGTGAACTTGAGGGTGGGTATATAGCGTTCCCTGCCCCAAACGTGAGCTCCTGAGCTTGTAGAGGCATTCTGATCTAGGGGGGTTATGCCTCTGGGAAGTACTACCAGGTGGGGTTAGATCATATAACCTACTTGGAAGTGGCTGTGGGCGGGGCCCAGGGCGACACTGAGGCCAGAGGGGGAAGGGCAGGACGGCGAGAAACACGTTCCTACACATCCTTCAGAGTTCTGAGAAGGCTGCAACGGGTTTGGGGGCGGGGTCAGATGTAGCACTGGGCGATTTCCAAGTGCTGGAGCTGAGTATGTTCTAAATGTCACCTGCTAGTCACAGGGAATCAAGCTACTGTAGAGAGCATGAAAAAGAAGTAACATCTCACGATAATCCCTTCAGGAAAATGAAAACAGCTTTGCATTCTTCCACGTCATGCACACTATCCCACACAAAAACGGGTCGTCTGATCTAGGGTCCTTCGCCTCCACCAGGTCTTACATTACGTGCATCCTTGCACATCTGTCTTGGTGAACTTCTGCACGTATATCCGGGAGGTAAACCCCTTGAGGTGGAAAAGCAGGACTCAGAGTGAGCATATTACAAAACTTTTTTTAAAATAGGGAGAGCTGGCCGGCGCCGTGGCTCACTAGGCTAATCCTCCGCCTAGCGGCGCCGGCACACCGGGTTCTAGTCCCGGTCGGGGCGCCGGATTCTGTCCCGGTTGCCCCTCTTCCAGGCCAGCTCTCTGCTGTGGCCAGGGAGTGCAGTGGAGGATGGCCCAGGTGCTTGGGCCCTGCACCCGCATGGGAGACCAGGAAAAGCACCTGGCTCCTGGCTCCTGCCATCGGATCAGCGGGTGCGCTGCCCCAGCGCGCTGGCCGTGGCAGCCATTGGAGGGTGAACCAACGGCAAAAGGAAGACCTTTCTCTCTGTCTCTCTCTCTCACTGTCCACTCTGCCTGTCAAAAAAAAAAAAAAAAAAAAAAAAAAAAAAAAAAAAAAATAGGGAGAGCTAAATTACTGTTCCCAAAGGCCAAGCCAATTTACACTCCAATTAAACAGCCTTGAGAAATCCCATTTCTCCAAACCCTACAAGCACTGGGGCCCAGCATTTTGTTTCTTGTCCTGCAAATTGCCTGTTAACATCCTTTGCCCGATTATTCTTCCTTTACGGGTTTAGTAGTCTTTTTCCTATGGAACTGGAGAAACACATTGTAAATCAAAGACACCGGTCCTTTTTAAATGTTTTCCATTTTGTCTTTTTTTTAAATTAAGATACATTTGATAATGTTTTTGGTTGCCTTCGGTATTTCTAAGTTTGTTTACAGTTTCTTCCTTTGGTATTATGCCTGGGGGTTTATAAGAGGCAATACCATGCCATCTAAAATTTCTGATTTATTTGCTTCATATTTCATGTCTAGCAATAACTTATTTTGATAACAAGGATGATACAAAGGATTAACTAGCTTTTTCTTTTTTTAAAGATTTACTTGAAAGGCAAAGCAACAGAGGGAGAGACAAAAAGTGAGATCTTCCAATCACTGGTTCACTCCCCAAATGGCTACAATAGCCAGGTGTGGGCCAGGCTGAAGCCAGGAGCCAGAAATTCCATCCTGACCTACCACTTAGGTGGCAGGGGCTCAAGCACTGGCCTATCTTCTGCTCCCTGCCCAAGTACATTAGCAGGAAGTGGTTCTGAGGTGGAGCAGCCGGGACTTGAACTGGCGCTTTCACAGGGGTTGTTGACATTGTAAGCAGTGTTTTAACTGGCTGTGCCACAATGCCAGCCCCTACCTTGCTATTTTTTAAGCACAAAATGAAGTGACTGTCTCAGCACTATGGACTAATATTCCCTTCTGAGGGAGTTTTGGATGCTGTTTTTCCTTTTATATGATTGCATGCCCAAAATTTGTTTCTAGGCCATATATTCCTATCCATTGATGCTACCACTGAGTTTCCTATCAGTACCACACTTTATTTTTGTAGTTTTACAAGATGTTTTATTATCTTTAAAAGGCTTATTCTAGCCCAAGTCTTATGAAATTAAAAAAAATTTAAGTTAAAAATTTGTGGGTTTTGCAGTAAATCTATAAATTAGAAAAATGACATTGCTATAATAGTCAAACGTTTTCTCATTCAGCTTTCATGTTTCAAAATTGTATTTTTTTGCCGGCGCCACGGCTCACTAGGCTAATCCTCCGCCTAGTGGCGCCGGCGCACCGGGTTCTAGTCCCGGTCAGGGCGCTGGATTCTGTCCCGGTTGCCCCTCTTCCAGGCCAGCCCTCTGCTGTGGCCAGGGAGTGCAGTGGAGGATGGCCCAGGTGCTTGGGCCCTGCACCCCATGGGAGACCAGGAAAAGCACCTGACTCCTGGCTCCTGCCATGGAATCAGTGCGGTGCGCCGGCCGCAGTGCGCCGGCCGCGGCGGCCATTGGAGGGTGAACCAACGGCAAAGGAAGACCTTTCTCTCTGTCTCTCTCTGTCCACTCTGCCTGTTTAAAAAAAAAAAATTGTATTTTTTCTAAATTGTTTTTCATAATCCTTTTAGAGGTTATTCAATTATCCTCAACTGTATCATTTCAGTTTTTTTTTTTTTTGAAGATTTATTCATTTATCTGAAAGAAGGAGAGACCAAGAGAGAGATTCACTCCCCAGATGGCTGCAATAGCCAGAAGCCACCATGTCTCCCTCACGGGGAGCAGGGGCCCAAGCATTTGGACCATCCTCTGCTACTTTTCCCAGGCCATCAGCAGGGAGCTGGGTCAGAAGTGGAGCAGCTGGGACACAAATCAGCACCCATATGGGGTGCCAGCATTGCAGGTGG